GGTTCTATTTACCGACGAAAGTAAATTTAACTTATTTGGCTCAGACGGTAAGAAGATGGTATGGAGGCAAAAGAACTCCGAGTTTCAGCAGCAAAACCTTACTCCCAGTATGAAGCACGGCGGTGGCTCTGTCATGGTTTGGGGCTGCATGGCAGGTGGTGGCACTGGAAATCTGCAACATATTCCAGGCATTATGAATAAATATGTTTATATAGACATCTTAAAGCAAAATGTTAAGCCAAGTGTTGAAAGACTAGGGATCGAAGGAGACTTTTATTTTTACCAGGACAATGATCCCAAGCATAAATCCTTTGTTGCGCGGGAATGGCTACTATATAATTGTCCCCATGTACTGGAAGTACCCCCACAATCTCCAGATTTAAATATAATAGAAAACTTGTGGGCTCGTCTTGACCAAAACGTGCGAAAACATAGTATTTCGTCGAAAAAGGGCCTTTTAGATGCCTCACAAGCGGAGTGGCATGCAATTCCATCAACATATACCTGCGGTTTGCTAGAATCAATGCCAAGACGTCTACCAGCAGTAATTTCTGCGAAAGGAGGCCCAACAAAATATTAATTTGTTATTTAAGTTAATTTTAGTTTAGTGCGCTCACTGTGACATAGATTTATGAATTATTTTAGTTTTTGTTGATTTTTTTATAGTAAACAAAGGAACTATTTTATGTACGTGATGAATTACTGAAGCTTAATATTCAAACAATAAATGACCATAAAAGTTGTTTCAATCTGTGTTGTTTTTCATTATTTTTTCACATAATTCTGCTAACTAGATAGTGTGGCTCACTTTGACTGTGACTCACTGTACGTTAATTTCTAGCACCTTCTTCTCACCACACCATACGCTCTTATTGGAAGTTTCGAATTTCATCATAATATCGTAAACTCTTAAGGGCCATTCACATACAACTTTCCTCGCTTTGCCTGACAGTTCAAACTTTGACAACAAAACGTGAAACGCAGAAGGTATGCTACAATAAACGCTTTGACTGCTTTGCGTTCTCCTTTTCCTCCTAATTTTTTATTTGTAAAATAGATAGCAATATAATGATAGGCATTAACAATAGCAATAAAAATTCCTATTTACCCTATTTTTATCATTAAATGCAAATGCAAACGCACGAGAAAAGGTACATGTAGACAGCTGATTGCCAAAGCGGGCAAAAGTTGAGAGTAGCCCAAGATTTTGCTTCGTTTTGCTTCAAACGCTTTTTATGTGAGCATACTCATGCATATGCCTACATCGATGTTATATGTCAAAGCAAAGAACTATCAAGCAAAGCGAAGAAAGTTGTATGTGAATCAGCCTTTAGCCCTTTGTTTCTTTGCACCATGCCCATATACCTGTTGTGCTTCTATATTTTTCTCGCTCTATCTCGTTTATATAAACGAGTTTCACCATGCTCATTAGCTCTGTTGTACTTTAACCCTTAGGTAATCTTTGCATTTTATCTAGCTGAAAACATGTATTTCTAGCTCATTCCTGCTCACAGGAAACTATTGAAAGCAGCTCTTTGTAATGTATATGTATGCATTTCTAGCTCTTATTTCATATACCATACAATTTTGGCTTAGCACAATGTAAAAGAACAATCTCCGATTGCACTAGCTCCTATCCGGCTCGATATGGACCAATGTTTAAGTCCCAAAACCCAAAATAAAACGCACTTTGTTTTAGTTGTAAAACAATAAGTAAAAAACCAACTTTTATTGCTTTGCTTTCTTAATCAACACAACCTAGCACAACTATTCCTTGCACACCTGCACGCACAATCACCACTAGCTCAGTACACGTTTCACAATACAATGCGCAAAAACATCAGACTAGCACGTATCGACCATTCACCACAGATTGTTGCCAGATCAATATTATCCTCATCACATAACTTCGTATGAAGCTTGGTTCATACGGTACAGAGAGGATCTTAAGTAGTTTGCTTCCTGACGCAAAGAGAGAAATCGGCTTCTAATTAAAATTTTTTAAAGTGAACTTCAAATTAAAAGTAACTTTAAAATGAAATTAATTAATATAATTCTTTGACTATTTAAACATTCATTAGACATTCAAAAAAGTCATAAATATAAGATAATTTATTGGCTTCTGTGTACAATGATGTGTACACTCATGTTAAAATGAATAACACTTTTATTTTTTATGAACTATATTTTATTTATATACCAAAATATTGTTAAAAACAAGTTATTTAACGTTTTAAAGTATTATCTGTTACTTACCTTCATAATTTTGCTTGGAATAAAAATGTACTGAAAAGTACTGATTTTTTTAGCATGAAAAATTCTAACGTACTGATTTCGTGCATAAAAAATCTGGCCACCCTAACTTCGGTTGACCTGCATTTTAAGCAAGACCAGCGAAGACTTTTGCCATCATTAATAGCGTCCAGAATTCTACCTGTCAAACCAGCACATTTTAGATGGCAAATACCATGACAGAGCCAGCACGATAAGTAGCGTTCAGAATCGCTTATAATTTGGCAAGTATCAAGATCACACTCCATACTGAAAGATTTAATAACACTTGTTAATAAAAAGACAAACAAAATAAATTATAACAATTTATGAGCTGATGGAAATAGCTTTAAATAAATGTTGCGAACAGTTGTTGCTGTTCGAAATTTAGTTGAAAACCACAAAGCCGAAAGCTATGACGAGTTGGTCAGCAACTTTTTAACAGCCTACAAGAATATATGCATAATGTCGCTCAAGATAAACTTCTTACACTCACATTTAAATTTTTTCCTACAAATTTGGGTGCCGATAGCGACGAACACGGCGAGCGCACAGTGCTTCCCTTCCATATATAATGTGGGCAAAAATAGAATCATGGACGGATTTAAATGAAAATTCGCTTCTTAGTAAAATTAAGGACGGTAAATTCAAATATGCAATTTGTTTTTGGATAACTTTCATTGTAAATGCAGTTTGAATTTGGAAATTTAGGTTCTTGTGGCATTTACATAGGTATGTAATTATAGTTCGTTCTATTTTCAAAAGCGAGGTGTCAGCTGACAG